TAATAATAATTATAATAATAAAAAGCATCTGGAACCAGCTCAGAAGATTTCTAACGCTTTTCAGCTTGACTGACTTGGAGTGCATTGACCACACCGTTTATATTTTCTTCAGGTACCTGCAAGAAAACAAAAAGAAAGGTCATGCTCTAGCAAAAGCCAGGGAGGGACGACAAGAAACAGAGAGGCAGGAGACAAAGCCAGAACAGTCCCAAGGAGCCAAGTACTTTGCTGTTGGACACCTGAACTCTGCTGAGAAAGGACTCCATCTACAAGAGAAACCCTCCAGTTCAGAAGCGTTAACCCATGGTACCCCTAGGAGCAAACACTCTAAGTGAGATCTGCCTGGTTTGCTGTCTGTGTGGTGGGTGATGGTGGGGAAGCAACTCTTCTGGAGTCTTCCTTTCCTTCTCCTCTTCCTCTCTCCTCCTTTCCCTTCCTTTTGCAGTAAAGCATTTGTACGCCAGGAGCTTGCTCATGCAAGGCGCCTGTGCGGATGGATTTATGTGACTGCCTAAGGGCTCCATGAGGCTCTCCGGGGCATCTTACAGGTTTGGGACCCATAAGTGTGGGTGGGGAGATCACGTTGGGTGACAGGGGAACATGTCCATCAAAAGAAGAAGAGACCTGCCAGTCTGCTTGTGGTGGGGGGTCCCAGATGGAGCGGCATAGCACCTGAGCTTTCCTATCCAGTCTTGTAATGAGACTTAACCATAGAAGTCCATATACAAAATTATTAGTGGGTGTCTTTTCACATTTACTGCAAGAAAAAATGCTTGTAACAGAAGATGCAAAAGATCTCAGAGTGACTGTCATCTGTAGAAAAAGAGTATCACAAGTAAAGTTACATCAGACAGAAAAGAGGTGTCTGACTTACATAAACTCAAAGACGACACTCAGGGGACAGGCAGATAACAGCTTTTGAAAAGTGGAAAGGGGACTGAGGGAAAAATAAATTATCTGTGAGCTGCTGCAAGAAGCCAAAATAATTCACATTAACTAAGTTGAAGATGGGACTGCCTCCTCTGTGAGGTATTTGAGTCCTTGGCCAGGAGTACAATACCTGGATTTACTGGACACCCTCCAGAGCTCAGACAGTGGAAATACAACTGGACTGTGATTTTCTGCAAGGCTTTTAACAAACCTGAGGAAAAAACCCATGAGCAATAACAAGAAAAATGTTAATTTTCCAATGGGAAGATGGAATAGGAGCGGCTAACTCAGATGATGTGTGAACAAAAAAGTCAGCTGAGAAAGGAAGAAAATAATCTTAAACCAACCATACGGCAAATTCTTCTGGGTTAGAAAGAAAACCCCAGCAAACGTCCACCGTAGGAAATAGGACTGTGAAACAGGATTCTCCACTGCCTCCCCTCTCCATCATTTTTCCCAGCACATTGAACACTGCAGTGGAAGAAGTTGTATGACTCTCTGCCTCTCCAGAAGATAATGAGAAAAGACACAGGAATCAATTTTGCAAAACACACTGTCTTAGCCAGCCCCAGCGGATGATCAGCGGGTCTCTCCATATGCTCCTTCAGCACAGTACAGAAGCAGGAGGAAGCAGAACCGGCCTGTTCCGGCCAACTGGCTTTGACCTGCACGGACCCACCTCCTCACTTAAACACAATGGGCTGATCCTTCATGCACCGCAAAATGCTTGACTCCCGTAACGTCAAAGAAATGGTATCAATCATACCACAAATGTTTGGGCTGGATTTTCTCCATGACAGATGTGCAAACAGCTTTGATTTGTAGGATGCATCCTAGTTTGCCACCAGTGGAGAAGTCCTACCCCTGTCTGCCCCTTAGAAAAGACCCCTATCCCAGGGCAGCTGGTCCAACATGTTCACTTGTCAGCTAGAGGGCAGATCAAAGCATCTACCATGAAGGGAAAAGTAAAGCTGCAAACTACGCCCCAGATATAGGTTCAGCCTCATTAGATGCAAACTGCTGGTGAAGAAGAGCAAGATACCTCTGAGCATGAGGCAGCGAGAGCAGAGCACCTGGAAAAGGGACTCTTCTCACTTGCTCTCTCTAGAGGGAGCCGGAAACCGCAGCTCTCTCCAGCCCGAGAGACACACCAGGGACCTGGAGGCTCCCATCTCAGCATTGTCCCAAAGGGATTTCTTCTCAAGCACAGGTCCTGATTTCCAGGGCAAACAGCATTCTACAGCTACAGCATTGCAGGAAGACCTGACCATTAACACCCAGGTCAAATAAAAAGTTAAACAACAAAAAACCACCTTAAGATGCACAGGAGAAAAAAGATCAGGTCAAAGGGAACAACAAGCTTTTAAAAGCACTCTAAATTGTTGACAACAAGAACTGAACAACCTTAAATAAAGAGAGGGAGGATGTAGAGACAGGATTTCAAGACGCACTTAGACCTTGAGAAATGTCACTAGAAGTCAAGGTGTCTGGGTAGCAAAGTTGGGGAAAATGTAACAAAATCTAGGTCAGGGTCTTGGCCAACAAAACCAACCTAGAGCCAGCAAGCACGTAGCCCAGCCACCACGCCCAGAGCAAAGTCAAGCAAAGGAGGGCTTGAAATGCACCTTCCACACGGTGGAAGGATTTGGCAGCTAGAATAGCATTGTCCAGATGAAAAGGCTTTTAAAACCATACAAAAAGAAAACAGCAAGTAGCAAGGAAAATGCTAAAATACTGATTTGAGTAAGGGAGATCTGCAGACCTTAGGGCATGGCCCAAATAATACCCTGCCAGCTGCTTGGAGGCAGGGATCTGCTGGGCTCAGATGCAGCAGGATGAGACACTTTTAAAAGGCGGAGCTGCCTGCAGAGTCATCACAATTGTATGGCACAAGTTTCAAGTGAAATATCTATTTTAACTCACAGGGTTTAGCTCTCCAGATACTGCTTGACAACTAGAAGCACTCTGCACCTTGTGCTCTGCACAGAAAGCATGCACCTGGGGCCACAACAACAGGTAGGAATGTGAGGCAAAGCTAACAGTATTGATTTTAAAATGGTGTTTTATTAGCTTATCTTATCAGCACAGTTAATATTCAGGAAAATAAGACAAACATATATAACACTTTGACCTTTGCTATCTGGAATAATATTTACTTTTACTCTTTACACACATGACCTATAGGCTGCAAATGGTTCACACCAACTGTGAAAAACCAAAGTAATTAGCTGAAAAAAACCCGCCTTGAACTCATTGGAGCTTTTACAGGTCAATAGTAGGGCCTGAGCAGTGAATTTACAGTGATGAAAGAAGTATAATGCAATAAATGGCACAAAGCAGCTGAGTTTTGTTAGCGCATAGGCTACTGACTCCCTCCCTCAGGACTTGGGGAATGGGCTCCAAGTCAAATGCCGTCCTGTTTGTGGCTACAGGCATAGCAACTTTCCCTTTTCAGGGAAATTCCTCATTTTTGAGGGTGTCCTGTACAGCCAAAGGAAGAGCAGAGGTAGGCCTAGAAGGTAAAATATCCGCCAGTATAAAAGAGCAGAGAACCCTGCATGAATGGCAAGACCCTCATGTTGATGACCCTGCTGCAACTGCTTATGGGCACTCATGAGAACAAACATGGCAACACCCTTCTCTGCTTCAAAATCACCTTCCCTTCCTGTGCTGCCAATTATTGCTATTTTATCAAAGGCCTACACCACGAGGAGGATGATGCAGGGACAGCAGAGATAATCAGGACTCACAGAATGGTCTCAAAATGCAAAGGTTAGGGCCATGCAGGTACCAAGATATGAAGGCAGGGCTCCGCTACTGGGAGTCTCTCCAAAAAGTTCTTCACACACAAAAGCACCCTCCTGAGAGTCTAGAGCCTCTGACTACATTTGCAGGAAAACAGAAAGCGTTTGTGGCTGTTTCTAATAAAAGATAGTGACGCAGTGGAAGAGACTGCTCGGGGAGGTCATGAAGTCTCCATTGCTGCAGGTCTTTAAGGACTGAGACCAGCCTTTTGCAAGAATGAGACTGTAACACAGCTTTGCCTTGGGGTAGGGCTGGGCTTGGTTCAGGAGCCTCTGACCCAGGGCAGTGACAGCCAGGAGGCTGGAGAGAGGTATCTGCTGGGCAATGTCAGAGCAAAGGCACTCCAACAAGCTCTCCAGATGGGAAATGTTCTCATCATGAGTTTTCTCCCAGGGAGAAGATCTCCCTTATTCCAAAGAAGCTGTCTTGATACTCACCAATGCGTGATCAAACTTAAAAGTACTGATGTAGTAGGCTGGGATGTCGGCTGCGGCCAAAGGCTCAGAAATCTGAGCAACAATTCCACATTCATCTGTGGGGGAGATAAAAAGTCAATCACTGTCTGAATGGCACCTGTCAGTCTCACAGAACTTCTGGGCCTTGCCAGCTCCGTGCCTATACAGGGAGGAGTTTATCTTCACAAACCCCAATCAGAAGGGATCTCTAGCAAAATGTGTTCGTTCTCACAGAAACAGGCTCTTTGGGCCATCATGATACATTGCACATTTGATTTTATTGCCTTCTTTTTGTTACAGAGAAATGTAAATCCCCAAAGGCACAAAACATTAGAACTGGAATGATTTTCAGAGGTCCAAAGAAAGGCAATTAATTATGTTCAGGAAGGAAGCACCCAAACCAGTCTCATATACCCTTAACCTCCATTTTTCTCTTTAGTTGTTGCTATTAAACACTTTGCCCTGCATCTCTGAGAGAGGAGATGCTGACCCACTGGTTGGCCTGGACACATGGTTCCTAGACCACAGACCACCACAGCCCCCGAGACAGGATTTCATGACAATTTAAATGGTTCATCTGCCCTGTTCATCACAGATCAATGGTACATTTTTTCCAGATGAAATCTGAGTTTCACTGATCCAAATTGAACATTCTAACTTGATTTTAAACATTGCATATTTAGGGGACTGGTAGGTGTCCTGATGTCCCATCAATGACATGTACCATGCCATTTCTACATATTTTGCCTCTAAGATGCATAAAGAGAAGGTGCATGAAAATTTCCTTCTTGCTACTTTTGGTTGTCTGGTGTAGAAGTTGCAATTAAATATAAAAATTGGCCAAATATTTTTCAGAAATTTTCTTGAAGCTTGTATTTTACAACTGTTTCAGAGACCATGAGAAGGAGCCCCAGTGTTTTCTGAAGATCAGGCCTTTGCTGCAGTATTCAGATCAGACTCCTCAAAATTACAGGGGACATAAAAATAACAAGAACACTTCTGCAGACATGAAGCATTTGCTCTGTGCTACTTAGGTACAATATTCTTTTCAGTAGAGAAAACGTTTGCAGCACTGGATGTGAAACAGGTCTACGAATAGGACTCCCACTTGGACTGCTATAAATCTATGCAAAATCTACTAAAGCCATAGAGTTGCCCAAGGACTACACTGGAGTACGACAGTGCCTTCTGACCACTGATTTCAGTAATCTACAATGCATTCCCATGCCATCTTTTTGTCCACTTTTGCTCCTTAAACAGAGACCCAGCTGTAGCTACCTCCAAAGTCCAGCAGATTAATGCAATTTAGATGGAGCTGTCAAGCATGCAGCACTTCCAAAAGTGTATTTAGAAGTCTGACTTATTAGGTAGGAGTCAGGCTCATCCTGTTTGAAAATCTCAAGCTTGCAAAGTCAGGTTAAACTGCTGGCTCTTAAAAAGCCTCAGCCTCAGATGGATTTTTCCATCATCCTTGAATGCCCTGAGGCGACTGACTACTTGTGCACCAACTGATCCCCCAAATGTTTACCTACCGAAGCCAAGAGGCTGCCCACCAATCCTCACCATCTTCCAGAGTTCGCCAGATGCACTTGTAAACAACAAATTATTAGGAAATCTGTAAAAGAAAAGGAACACCAAACATGGCAATTAAAACACAGCAGTGTGTCAGATTCTGCCTGTGGGGATGCTGCTGTTCCTGCATCCCTGTGCTGCTTGAAGCCAACAACAGTGGCAGCAGCAGCTCGGTGAGACTGAGAAAACCTAAGGCAAGGGGGGACAGATGCACTTGCCTGCCCCTCCAGATGTCCTGTGGTAAATCAGCATCTGATGCTGGAAGTGTGCATAGGCACCCAGAGAGGCACAGAAAAAGATTTCTAAGAAACAAGCTATGCCCCAGCTTCACAAACATCAAGACTGTTAATCTGAAGGCTTGATTTGAGCTGCATTTAGAAACACCTAGGGGCAGAGTATGTTTCCATACCTACTCTCTTAGGAATGTGAACGGTGACCACTGGTTTTGTTTCTCAGCATCATCAGTGCTTTTTCCCATACCATCCCTGGGAGGTCCCTGGGATCCCTGCAGAGATCCCCATTTCTCAGCAGGGCAAAGAAGACCAGTGGCTAAGAGTCTTGGCTAAGGTCAAGCAGGCAGTCTGTGACAGAGAAGGAATTGGCTGCCCAGGTTCCCCAAGCTCCCGGCTGCTGCTCCAACCCTCCAGCCTCTCTTGAAGGCAGACAGAGGTTTACTCCAATTAAGGTAGAAGAAACTTTCAAGAGGGCAATTAATAGTTTGCTAAACAAGTCCTTGGGGCAGGCAAGAATCAAAACCAAACACCGCACTGTGTGTCAAAAGCAAATCTATGCATTGCATCTCAGTGCAGCATCCTGTCTAGCCTCCAGACCTCGGAGACTTCTGTGATGTGAAGCTGCAGAAGTACACACACACAGAGGCTGATATTTGCTCCCTAGCTGACTTTCTCCTTGCCAGACAAACGAGTCATGGGCTCCCGCTGCACAGGGATGACTCAGTACATTATCATCACAATGAGACTCCGCACCAGGCCCAGCCATGTGTAAAAGCAAAGCAGGAGGACAGCATCACTGACGTCCCCACCCTACTTTTGGCCTTTAGCAGTAAAACTTCAACGACGTACACCATATTTTTTTGACGTACACCATATTTTTTTGTGTTTTGCTCTTAAAAGCACAACTAATGAACAACGGAATAAAAATGTCAAAATCACTTTGCTCCAGTGTTCCTCTTTCAAAAGTGAGATAATCCTACATTACATTGGCTTGTGATTTCACTGAGGGCTTGGACAGACAAGCCCAAAATTCAGAAGCTGGAACTAACATGCCAGACTTCACTCAGAAAAGTGACAGGGTGTACAGACATGTGACACCCATGCAATGAGGCTCCCAAGAATTAACAAGGAAGAGCTTAAGCTGCTTTCTGCTCCTTTGAGAACATCCCAGGTGCTTTTTTGGGGTCCAGGAGACCCTAAGACCAAAGCTCACCTCTGCTGTGTCTGGACATCCATGACCAAGGAGATGTAACCCTCAATGAGAGAAAAGGAGAAAAAGCGAATATGTCCCGAGTCCTCGTTGCCCACCACTGAGTCTTTTACTCTGAAGAAACAGAAGAGAAAAGCATTAACTGTGGCTAGAAGAGTAAAGGAAGGCTTTTAAAGCAGATATAGCCAGTGAAACCAGACACATTCATACGCTGACTTAGGGAAGTGACACTGAGTTCTGTCACATTATACTGCTTTTCATTTTTTTTGATTTTGCAGGGAAAAAAAATGCCAGTCCCCACAACTGGCAAAACTCTCGCATCCCAGCCCCAAGGTCTTCTTGCAGGAGGCTCTGGGCCAGGAGCCACAGGCACCAATGGGCAGCAGCAGAGCCAGCTGTATATCCTCCAGTCATATGTTGATATGCAGCACATTGATCACATTGCTACTCTTAGCTTAAATCTGAAAAGGCTCAGCTTTCCAAAGCCAATGGATGTCTTTGGGCACCCTCAATCTCCTAATTGGCTTCAACCTGTCAGGACAACTGTCTTGAGCCTGCGAAACCTCCCTCCCTAAGTGCAGGGCATTGCAGCAGTACAAGGCCACAGCAGATCCCTGGGCATCCTGGAGCAGCAATGAGAATTTGTGCCTCCAGATGCCAGCCACACCTCCCCTGGGAGCCTGTCTCCCTGCTGGGACCTACCCATTGGAGTAAAACATGACATCCATTAGGAGTGTAGCAACAGTGGGAAGGGTATCTGGATCCAGGCTGGTGACGCAGAACATATTACTTGGACTGGAAAGGGGATGAATGACAGGCCTCTGAACTGAAAGAGACACACACAGACACACAAAACTATGAAGCCACTTCTGCAGCAGGTTCATGTCCCACCAGGCATGTGCTATCCATGCACCGGCAGCAGCTGCAGAGAAAACTGACAGCATTTGCAAGAAAGTTCCTCATTACTGAAGCCCTGTTGGTCCTCAGACAGGGACTGAGGAGCCTGGGGACAACCTGCTCTTGTGGTGTCCAGGGGGTACAGGGTGGGATCATCCTGAGTACCCTGCCCTGCACGGGGCACAGGTCAGTCCTCTGCTTGTAGGGGCTTTCAGGCCATTGGGTGCATCCACATGAGACAAGGGGTAAGCTAAAGGAGGTGCCAACACAAACTGAAAAGTAGAAATAAATTCAGGTTTCCACCATTTAAAAAGCAGGGCTATGGAAGGCATTTCTCCGGCTGTGGTTGCTTGGCAGTACACCCTCTTCTCCCTCCTTTCTGGGAGCCTATTTTGCCATAATACCTACAAAAATTAAAAACCAGCTGTCATGCAGCAGCTTGGCAAACACGCTTGCAGCCAGCAGCTGAGAAGCAGCTGGTATTTAGGCATGCAACTATTAAACACAGCAACACAGTGAATTGCATACCTGTGCATAACCAGTGTGTGTTTCACTGTGCTCTTCCTTCACGCTTTGTGTATAAGGCTCATTTTCTTAAACAAGATTATCTATAGCTATCAAGTGACGAGGCTGAGTGGCACTTCATAATAACTGATCCCTGCTTTGTTTGGTTATAAGCATAAAATTACAGACAGGTGTATAGGTAAACACATATACTTAAGTAGTTGCTTTTCCTGATTGTGCCCTTTGCCTGATGCTTGTTCCTTTAGACTGGAAGCATCCTAAGGTTCTGTACAGGCCTGGGCTGACAGTGGTCTTGATCCTGACTGGTATTGAAGTGTGCAAGTTGAACAACAGTATTCTCTGTGCATCAATCACTGCAATACTTAAACAAGCTTTTATATAAGCCATTTTCCTTTGAAATGTTGAAACATGAAAGTATGGGCTACAGACAATGTTATTTTTGCAACTGAAATGAATTGCATTTTAACCTTCTGTCCTACAAAATGTGTGTCTCCTCTAGAAATGTGAAACTAGCATTAAAAGGCTTAAATTCAGCAAAGCTCATCAGCATTGCTCAGCAAGTTACGCACCTCCTCAAATCCTTGGTTGAACTGGGAAACACTCAGGCATGTATTAAGATAGTTCATTATCTTACAACAGGATAAACATTCACCAAAATGTTGAAGGAAGGTAGGAAGCAGACTTTCACCCCCATGTGTCATGGAGACCAACTCCCTGGCAAGTTGAGCCCACGCTGGTTCTTACCCAGTTTTGGTTTGACAAATCCATTTGTTATCCCAAGGTCATCAGCAGCCACTGTCTCCCCATTCACTACTCTGAGGATGGTGAACTCAGCAGCCAGCGTGTGCATCACGAAGGGCAGGTCTCGCTCACGTACCTGAAGTTGACAACAGGATTAGCTTGTGATGGTATGCACCAGAAGTGACAAGACACTGCAGCGGAGGTTACGTACTCTCAGGGCACAGAAAAGTGGACACACCACTCCTGCTTGAGCCAGCAGGTGTGTAAAGATAACTGCCACCCAGATGTGTGTCAAGAGAAGCACATTTGGTGATATCACTGCAAATATATATAAGATTAAGTACCACAGTGCTTTCAGGACTGTGGAAAGAGT